ACAGTACGTAGGCAACTTTCTGCCACAGATTACTCAACAACTAACTAAGAAACACAGACTTCGTTCCGCAGACGGGTGCCGCAGGATTCCAGCTATCCAACCCTTCCGTTCTGGATATGAATGCGGTCGTGGCGTCGCTTGAGCTGTTCAATCGGACCTCGATGGCCGAGATTCGTCAAAAGTCCTTGAACGCCACTGGCTACTTGGAACATCTCCTCCTGAACTCCCCTGCAGACTTCTCTACTGGGAAACGACCTTTCTCCATCATCACACCTTCGAACCCAGCAGAACGTGGTGCACAACTCAGTCTGCTGTTGGAACCGGGACTTTTGGATAGCGTCTTGGAGACACTAGAAGAGCACGGAGTTGTAGTCGACGAAAGGAAGCCCGACGTCATTCGAGTTGCACCGGCACCTTTGTACAATACGTACACGGAGGTGTGGGAGTTTTGCCAGATCTTCTTCGAAGCCTGTCAGAAGGCTTTGAAGTCACGAAAGTAAGCAACGGAGAGATGAGTAAGTTGGGTTGCCGAATCTGGATTGATATTGCGTATATGTCATCATGAATATATAATGTTATTTATGTCTAATAGTTGTGACACTGGACAGACATGGACCAATCTACATAATGCCTACTATATATGAATATGTTACTATCAGACTAAGGACTTGAAGCACCACATAACACTACCCCTCCTACATGATAAGCTATATGATGTCGAGGACAACATCAGTAGTGCCAGCCCTACCATATCCAATTACCATGGCAGCTCCCTTCCAGATGACTATAGCTTCATATTTCTCAATTAACACAGCATCGAACATACACTCATCCCGAACGATCATCCCAATCAACCAAAAGCAAAGTAAGCGCGCTCCAACGGTTGCCGTTCCGACTCCCAAGCCAGCCAATCCGATCTTGTAGTCCTGTCGCAATGTAGTGTTAGCAATGAACAATAACCAATCAAGCGCACATTCCACGCGGCAACAAGCACAAGACATGGGCACCACATACGGCAAAAGTCCCATCGCATTAACCTTCCAAATACCCAAGCACAACAGCACCAGCTGCATAACGACATATATCGCCTTCACACCCAGAAGCTTCGCGCGCGTGCCCTCTGTATCGAACTTGGCGAACACCGTGTTGGTATTAATCAGGCCCTGGATGGGGCCCTTGAACAGCATAAACACCATCATGATACTGAAGATCTGTAGACTATTTCCGGACATGTACATCATGATCGCGTTCATGGGGATCTGCTTCGAGGGAGCGAGGGCAATTTCCCATGCTTTCTTGAGCTTCAGGGTATCGGTTTCGACGGGTTTGGACGGGGCGGAGGTTGCTGAGGACTGCTGGGCGCGGTTCTGCAGTGGATGTGAATGTCGCGTTAGTATGATCTGGGTGCGAATAAGAGGATGGGTATAGTAATCGGCAAAGAAAACGTACGTTCTTGCCAGTTGATTTCCTGGAGAAGCCTGGAGGATCAGGGATACTGGTAGCCTCTTTGGATGGGCGTGGCATGGGGGTGTTCATTCTCACCACCCATTGGGGCGGCGGTGGAGGGGGGAGAGAAACCATGGTGGACTGTGAGAGTCGAAAGAACTCTCAGTATATAGCTTCTCTGTGCCTGGGAGATATTGAGGGATAGAGAGGTCGCGGAAAGGTTGATGCTGCAAGCCAGGCCGAGCTTGGAGATGAGGAGGGAGCGATTAGAGTGACGATGATCCGGCCGGAATCGATGGATGGAATGGATTTCTCCACCAGCGCGGAGTTGGCGGCCCCCGTTCCACTCCTGATTCTCACGCTGCCTCTCCAAAGTTGCTCCAGTCGACGTCGGTTTGGGATTTCACAATCATCAAGGACAGAGAGAGGGAGATAATTTGGGGTTATATTAATTGAGATAGGTAAGTACACTGTCGCGCCCTCAAACAGAGACATTCCCCCCTGTGCCTTGACGCTAACGAGTCTAGTCTGCCCCCCTCTCCGATGCAATTGAAGCTTCGGAGCAGCAGACCAACCAAGCCAACTAGTCTACCGATCGAGTGCCCCTTGAAGCTCTCCGACATCCGTGAACGATTATTTGACGATATCAAGACCGAGGTCTTTTGTGATTATACGTGACAAAACAAACCGGATCAGAGGATTGGAGGATTGTGAACCTGCACCATGAGTTCCAGCGGGGGAGATGCGAAGTTGTTCGCCAGGGTGAGTACTTTGATGTGCATTGGCACTGCTCTCCTTCCTGCCGCTCAATCGGACCATCCATACATGACGTGCAAGAGCCCTTTGGGCGTGTGCTTATCTTCCCGCGCTTCCCCTCATGCCTGTTCCCAGCGCTGGCTTTGTCTTTTCCTTCTGCGGGGGGTCTTGTTCACTATGCTCCTCATGCTGCCTCCTCCGAATCCCCTCCTCCTGGCTGGCCCCCAAATTCCTCCCTAGTCCGGTCTACATCCTTACCTTATTATGTTCCTCAGCGTGGTTCCTTATACAGCGCAATATGGCTCACCATTCTCTCGTTCCAAACAGGGCAAAGTCGCCGAGTTGCGACAGGAGTTGAACAGTGGGGGGAAGAAGGACAAGAACCATTCGGCCAAGAAGATCGCGCTTAAGAAAATCGTCGCCAATATGACCATGAGCAATAATGATATGGTCGCTTTGTTCCCCGACGTGATCGGTTGTATGAACTTGCCCAGCCTGGAGATCAAAAAGATGTAATGTTTCCGGGGAAGATATTGTATCGCATCTTGTGTGGGAACTAATAGTTTCTCTCACTACAGGTGCTTTCTGTTCCTCGTGAATTATTCGAGAGCGAAACCCGAGGTTGCGCTCAAGGCTTTGCCGTTCCTCATCGATGTGGGTGTTTTCCTTTACGTCTGGGGATGTGACAGCTAACCTGAATAATCCAGGATATGGAGGACTCCAACCCCCTCGTGCGTGCCCTGGCACTACGGACCATCTCCTACATCCATGTCCGCGAGTTTGTCGAAGCGACAGTGCAACCGGTCAAGCGACTGATGAGCGATATGGATCCGTACGTGCGCAAGACCGCCGCTTTCTGCGTCGCGAAGCTCTACGAGCACGATAAGAAGATGGTCGAGGCGTCGGATCTGATTGATAGGCTGAACAGCATGCTCAAGGATGAGAACCCGACGGTGGTTTCTAGCGTCCTGGCCTCCTTGGTGGACATCTGGGGTCGCAGCGAATCGATCTCTCTGACTATTGACTACACCAGTGCCTCGAAGCTCGTTTCGATCTTACCAGACTGCTCTGAGTATGTGTCTATGCTTCTGTGTCCGATGCAGGTTACTGACATTGTGCAGATGGGGCCAGTCTTACATCCTCGAGGCTTTGATGTCCTATGTCCCTCAAGACTCCGCAGAATCCCTGTTGCTGGCAGAGCGAATAGCCCCCCGCCTCTCGCACTCCAATTCTGCCGTTGTCCTGACCTCTATCCGCGTCATCCTCTACCTCATGAACTACATTGCCGACGAAAGACATGTCACCTCCCTCGCAAAGAAGCTATCACCGCCCCTTGTCACCCTTCTCTCCAAGCCACCAGAAGTACAGTATCTGGCTCTCCGAAACGCCATCCTTATCCTGCAGAAGAGGCCCGAAGTGCTCCGCAACGATATCCGCTGCTTCTTCTGTAACTACAACGATCCGATCTACGTCAAGGTCACCAAGCTGGAGTTGATCTTCATGCTGACCACCAAGGAGAACATTTCCGTGGTTCTTGCAGAACTCAGAGAGTACGTCGGTCCTCCCTTCCTCTAACCCTCACTACTAACACGTCCATAGGTATGCGACTGAGATCGACGTCCACTTCGTGCGCAAGGCAGTGCGTGCCATCGGAAAGCTCGCCATCAAGATTGAGTCCGCCGCAAAACAATGCATCGACACCCTGCTGGAACTGGTCAACGCGAAGATTCCCTACATCGTCCAGGAGGCGACGGTTGTGATCCGCAACATCTTCCGCAAGTACCCTAACCAATACGAGAACATCATCGGCAACGTGATTCAGAACATCGACGAGCTCGACGAACCCGAAGCCAAGGCCGCCATCATCTGGATTATCGGCCAGTACGCCGACCGCATCGAGAACTCCGACGGCCTCCTCCAGGACTACCTAGCCACCTTCCACGACGAAACCGTCGAAGTCCAACTAGCCCTCCTTACCGCCACCGTCAAGTTCTTCATCCAACGTCCCACCAAGGGCCAACAGCTCGTCCCCCAGGTCCTAAAATGGTGCACCGAAGAAACCGACGACCCGGACCTCCGCGACAGAGGCTACATGTACTGGCGTCTGCTATCCACCGACCCCAAGACCGCAAAGCAGATCGTCATGGGCGAAAAGCCCCCCATCAGCGCCGAAAGCGAAAAACTCGACTCCCGCACCCTCGAGGAACTCTGTCTCAACGTCGGCACTCTCGCCACCGTGTACCTGAAACCCGTCCAACAAGTCTTCCGCTCCGCGCGCACAAGACGCCTACAGTACAGCCCTGCCCTGCAGAAACCGAAGGAAGAACCCGGCACTGCTGTCTGGCAATTCCCCGCCCCGTCGCAATCCAACAGTCCCACTGCCGCCATGGCTGCCAGCGCATCTGCCCCCAGCGATATGAACGCAGCCGTCAGCGCAGCCGACAGCTACTTCAACAGTGTCGGCACCCAGCAAATGGCTGCACTGGACCTAGGCGGTCGCGAAGACGGTGGTGTTGGCGGTGGTGGCGCCCCTCAGACGCAGTATGTCGTTACTCAGAACCAGCAGCAGGTGTATCAGCCGCAGCTGGCGGGAGGAGCAGCCACGGGTGAGTTGTTGTTGCTGTAATTGTACTGGTTGTATTATTCTTTCTTCTTTCCTGCTAGATAGGTTCTTAATTCTTTTTGGAGCGGTTTATCAATTATTTCGCAGGCAGGGACTTGTGATGTATTCTGTTTTATTGTCCTTGATGCTTGGATATGTAGGTCAATATGCATATGTTAGAGCATGAATAATAACATAAATCCTTGGTATATGATACATAGATAGCATGTTGAGCATAGGTATGATGAGAAAGGAGAATGACTGCATCCGTATCGTGCTTCCAGAGCACAGCACATCATCCATCTATCCCATGATCATCATACGAAGCCAACAACATTCATGAAAATTTAACTAGTATGATGATAACAATTAATCCTCATCCAAGCGAGCCAACCCACCCCGACTGCGCTTAATCCGCTCATCCAGACTATCCTCCTGAAGCTGTTTATGCAGCCCAGACACAAAGCGACCCTTCTCCGAGCGATGCTTCTCATCTTCTTCATGCTGCTTCGCTTCAATAGCACTGACTTCCGCAATGCGCTGTCGCCGAGCATCCTCCATCTCGCTCGCGTTCGCTTGCATCTCTGCTAGCTTGCGTTGCCGTTCTTCCTCTTGCTGCTTGCGCTTCTGCTCGGCTTCTTCAGCGTTGGGCTTGTCGCGGCTGTATGTATCTCTGTCTCGGGGACGGTAGTCTCTCTTATCTTGGTGGTAGCGACTGGATCGCTCGCGGTCGCGGTCGCGGTCTCTGCGATCACGGTCACGCTCACGGTCCCGAGAATCTCTGTATCCATCGCTTTCTCTCCGATCGTCGCTGCGCCGTCTGTCAGAGTGATGGCGATCCGCAGGGGATCGATCTCGCCGGTCATATCGATCTTCACGATCACGATCACGATGCTCCCGATGTCTGCTCGAGCGGTGATAATCTCGATCACTATCCCTTTCTCTCCTATGATCCCTCTCACTCCTCCTCTCCTTATCCCTATCATCACGATCACGATCATCTCTCCTCCTCCTCTCCGGCGACCTCGACCTATGCCTCCTCTCCCTCTCCCTCCTCCTCTCCCTATGCCCATCCCTATCCCTCTTCTCCCCCTTCGAAGACCCTCCCCCCTTCCTAACCTCCTCTCTAACCATCCCCTCCAACGCCGCCTGCTCCCTCTTCCTAATCTCCAAAAGCGGATCAGCCAACACCTTGGCCATCGTATCCCTCGAATTCACCACCGGCTGCTGCTGCACTGCACTCCCACCACCAAGCGACGCATTAAACTCCGCCCCCTTCTTCAACCCCTCCGTCTCCCCGCCCTCCTTCTTCAACAAAATCCCATCAATCCGTCTCTTCCCCAAAAGATACCCTTCCATTTCCTCCGCGTACATACCCCCAGCTGCCCCTCCGGACCCAGGCTCCTGATACATCCAGTCCACGCGCTGGATCTGCTTCGGTTTCCCCGTCCCTTCTTGTAGCCGTTGGAGTTCTTGGATTTGGCGCTCTTCGTCGCGCTCGCGGCGGAGTTGGTCGATGCGTTTGCGCTCTTCCAGTGCGCGTTTTTCTTCCGCCCAGACGCGCTCTTGGTTGCGGAGGAGGGAGGGGTGCCATGATCTGTTTCATTTTTAAATGTTGCGTTAGTGTTGAAGTTGGAACGGGGGGAGAGTTGGGGGAGAGAGAGGGAGTGCGTACTTCTTTAAGTTGAGGTCGCCACCCATTTTGTGAGAGGGGGCTGGGTGTCCAGCTGGTTGTTTCTTGGTGTTGTTGTTGCGAGGACTGGGGGTTGTAGGTGGATGGGGGAGGAAGTGGTAGGTGTGAGAGATGGTGATGGATGGGGGTGAATTCCCGATAGGGAAGTATTGTATTGCCACTCACTGCGGCTGTCTGACTTGCCGGTTTCTGCCTGAGGCATCAATATATATGCTACGTTTGAACGGTGATTATTTCTATATTTATGGCAAAAGGACTTTACATATAATGTATTCGCACTATGCAGTAAACAAATGATAGATTAAGCACATATGGATAACATCAATAGGTACATACAACAAGAATGTTAGTTAACACATCACAGAGGCAATCGAGGTTTGTCCGCCTGCGGTCCATGTACCAGCGGCATTAGATATACCAGAATCAAATCATTTACTCGTCTCCGCTCGTCTCCACTCTCCACAGAACTTCAAATATTTCATACTGTACTTATTTCTCCCAGCCCACATAGCTACGGGGCATCACTCGCCACACCTTGCATTCGCCACTGCGGAGGTCGTTGAGCTTGAAGCTCTCCATCTTGACCTTTTTGCTTTCGCGGCCCTGCTCCCAAGCACGGATCTTCTTCTTGGTTCCGTCCCAATCAACCACAATGGCCACGTGGTCGGGCTTGCCTACTTCCGCACTGTACTTCTGGTGCATCGTGCCGCGATGTCCCTGGAAGCGTGCGTTGCGGAAGCTGACGATATCACCGGCGCGGATCTCGTCGTTCTGCTGTACAGAAGCGTTGGCTAGATTGGAGTAGACCAAAGCGCCATAGGCACGTGTTCCAACCGGCTTGAGGGCATCCGACAAGGGACTGAGCACGTGCTGGACGAGGCCAAACGGTGTGCCGTCGGCAACGGTAGTGTTCTGAATGGAATTGGCCGTGGAGGCGATGCGAGTGCCAATCTGCAGATGTGCGTTCTCGAGTTGGTCCTGACGAGGCTGGATAGGAGGAGCCTCGTGGCGCTGCTCAAAGGCAACATCCGTGGGATTCCGAGCGTCGAAGTTGACCGTAATCACCGTTTGCGAGTGGTCAATAAAAAGAACGTAGATGTCTTTGGTCACCATGGTCTTGCCACCTCTCTTCGAGGAACTTGACTCCTCGAATTCAAGCAAGATGTCCTTGCGGTTCTGGAACACGGGAGGGGGAGTATTGTGCTGCGTCCACCAGAGCGTGTTCTCTGCCAGGTCTACGTCCATAGCGATGAAGCCTTGGTCGGCGGACGGACGACTGACATCCATGGACCGCCGCATGCTGGGCTGCGCTCTGGGGACATCAAGCGATGCACGGTTGCTACGCGGCGTGGGTGGGGGTAACGTGGGAGGCGGGGGTGCCATCGAGGTTCTCTTCTCCGACTGGGAGAATGTTGATTCGTGGTGTGATTGGACGGGCGAAGCTTCATAGAGCTCCTCCGATTCTTCCTCCGCAGGCTGGGAAGGGACAACAGGAGGTAGCTGCGGCGGTCCAGCGGGAACAGGTGGAGGCCCCCTTGGGGTAGGCAGTCCATGTTGCGGGGCATTGTAACGGTACGGATCATACTCTTCATCATCACCTCCAAAAGACAACTCTCGGTGGGGAGGAGGAGGAGGAGGGGGTCCGCGGGGGGAATCTATGGAGGCCCTGCCCGCACTCTTGGGAGGCTGAATTGGGGGCGGAGGAGGGACTGCCCTAGGGGCATTTGGGGGAGGCGGGGGCGGAAGACGAGTCTGTGGCGGGCTCCGAGGAGATTGAAGTGAATGGTCGTCGGTAGTCGTCCCCTCGTCGAAACTTGAATCACGTCCATGAGATTTCAGTGCGTCCTTAAACTTGGCACCGGATGCAATGTCAGTGTCGTAGTCGCCGTCATACTCGGTGACCTCGCCCTCCACCTCTTCGCCCGCTTGGCGAGACTGTGAGGTCACACTGGTTCGACTGTCGGCAGTCGACCTCCGGCGAATATTAACGGGCGGCGGGGGAGGAGCTGCTCGACTCTGAGCCGGGGCGGGTGGATTGCCTGGAATAGGAGGTGGAGGTCGGCTAAGTCTCTTATCTGCAGGAAGTGTGGGCGATTTCGGAGAGGTGACATCGTATGTCGACGAGCGGCGAGAGTCTAGATGATCGGGGAGCGGAGGAGCAGGAACAGGTTGGCTTGGAGACTGATCGGCTGCCGCAGCGTTGAGGGAGAGATTCTTAGTATGCAAGGAGAGCTCATCGTCCGACTCTTCGCCCGTGTCAGCAGGAGCAACGCCCTTAGGGGTGGTTTGATCTATCCCAGGTCAGCATGTGTGGCAAAGGACACTGATACCATGGAGAACTTACGTCCGGGAACAGGGGGCGGAGACAGAGGCGCATCGTGAGGGACAGGAGGTGGAACTGGCCGTGTTTCGAGTGGCGGAGGGGGCGGAGCCGCGCGCTCTGTTTAGAGAATAGTTAGATGGTATGCTAGGATCATCAATGACTTATGCTCTTACCTAAAGGCGCAGGTGGCCTGTCGGTGGATGTACGCCGAGGAGGCTCTTCCTCTACCACATCTTCGACATCAGGGACCTCATGCGGAGGATGCTGCTCTGTCACAGGGCTCGTCTGAGCTTCCTCCTCCTCCTTCTCCACGCTTGGTGTGGCAGCAGGCTTGGCCACGTTCATCCCCGGCAGAGCCATGATCGGCACTGGAGGGGCAGCAGCTGGGCCGGATCGTTCATACTCCCCGCTGGGTCTCTCGGCTTCCACGGGTGCCTTTGGCTTCCGAGGAGCTGCAGCCGGACGAGGCATGCCACCAGGAGGCCCAAAGAAGCCCATCATACCCATTCCACCGCTCATCTTGGCCATTCTTTCGCGGAGCTCCATCTTGCGCCTGACTTCCGGGTCTATCTCTTCTTCCTCCTCCCCTTCTTCTTCCTCCTCTGCACCTTCATCAACCTGAGCTTCACGTTCTTCGGCTTGCTCCAGCTGCCGAGATTCTGCTTGAGCTTCGTGCTGAACCTCCGCCCGGGCGCGCTCGTCATAGTCCTCCTTGCTCGTAGACGTCTCCTCCGCATCTTCAGTATCAGCGGCGGCTGAATCATCGGCATCGTTGGTATCGCTGACGAGCTCCCGCACTGGCGGAGGGGGCATAGCTGCTGGCGGGGCTGGCGGGTGAGCGGCTTTCACCGTCTCAACACTGTGGTCTCTCTCAGGCTCGCCAGATGGGGTGCTCTCGGTCGGCGGTTCTTCCACAGGCATCGCTTCTTCGTGAGACTCGGTGCGCTTCTTGGGGGGAGGGCGCTTGGGCTTGTCCTTCTTCTGAGCGGCTTCAGCGTGACGAGCAGCTTGCTCCATCTGCTGTTTTTGCAAGAGAGCAATCCGCTCCTTCAAGCTTGTCGGCTTGGGCTGCTCCTCCGCACCTTCCTCCGCGCCTCCACTGGACAGTGGCCGAGTCTCGGAAACGGGCGGCTCCTTCGCCAGACGTTCTTGGACCTCAGGATCCTCCTCCCTTCTGTAGATCTTGCGAGGAGCCTCACGGGGCGGGGGTACGTATGCATCTCTACTGGGAGGTGCCGCAACGAACGGCTTCTTGACGAAGGAAGTGGTCTGGCCGCCCAAACCACCCGGCTTGAAGGGTGCAATTGGGGGTGCGGCGGGTTTGTTGAAAGCAGCAATGCGATCCCTGAACGATGACCCTGTCGGCTTCTCCGCAACGGCGGGAGGTGGGGGCTTGGACGAGGGTTTCGGAGCCGGTTCGCTGATGTCATTTGCAGGGGGTTGAGGAACCGGGGCAGGAGCCGGGACAGGCGCTGGCTTCGGGGACGAGGGGAGCTCACGGGTTGGTGACGCCAACGCAGGAGGCGGCGATTGAGGAGGTTGGGGCACAGGTGCAGGTGTATCCTCCACTTCGGGTTCCAGGGAGCGCGGGGGCTCAGTCGTAGGGGACTCGACAGCAACAGCGGGCTCTGGAGGAGGCGGCCCGGGAGCGACCTCTGGTTCCCTCTTCGGTCGACTCGGGCGTGTAGGCCGCGGAGGAGCTGGGGGTTCATATCTTTCCACGAAGTTCTTGGGGAAAATACCCTCTCGCTTGTGCCCCGACTCGTCGGTATACTCACCAAAGTACCATTCCGCGTCTTCCACCGCCGTCACGGTTACAATCTGGCCGATGGCAAAATTTAGGTCGTCATCGTGGTCCGAAGCGTATTCGAAGACCGCTTTGACTGTGAACGGCGGACTGGACATCTGGCAAGTCGAGACGCTGTCACAGCGGACGTGGTGGTGGTGGGGGGTAGAATGGGGAGCGGAGCGAGAGGGAGGCTGGCGGAATGCAAATGACACGGCAGAACAATAATGATTGCAGGTAGTGGAGCACTAGACTGGAAAGCGTCTAATGCAGACAGACATGTGCAGTGCAGATATGCTTAACAGCGGGGTTTTGGAAGGTAAGCCGGTATGCTTCGGAGGGAGCAAAAAATAACAATAATAATATGTCAGCCTGCTGGACTGACTGACGTAGTCAGAGAGCTTAGTACCTCCGGAGATCGGAAACACCGCAAGGGGGAGGGGGAGTGGAGGAAGAGGGGGGTGAGAAGAAGTAAAAGGATAAGAATAACTTACTGCAGGGTAAAAGACAACAATGTCCAGAGAGACGGGAGAATATAGGAAATTAATGCACAAGGGAAGGAAGACAAAAGGAAGGAGTGGGATGGGGGGGAGGTGGGTGTGGTGTTGGAAAGGGAGGGAGGGAAGAGGGAGAGTGGAAGAGGAGGGACGGCGAGAGACAGAGAGAGAGAGAGACACTGAGCACAACGACTGCTACTACTGACAAGTACTACGACGACGACGACAACGACCACAGTACTAACTTAACACTTCACAACTCTTCTTGCCTGGCGGGACACTTGCTCCACTCCCGCAGCGATCGGCAGCTAATAAGATTGAACAGCCCGTCAGACACCAAAAGCCAACACAAAAACATACGATGGAACAGCTGCCTGAGGGCCGTGGAATTAATCGCGGTTGGTACATCATTGCTATTTACACTGAAGTGTAGCTAGAAAGTACTACTACTATATTAACAAGCAGCTGCCGCGCTTCACGCGGTGCTCCTTGACTA